CCATGCTCTGGAAGAACTGCACGCACGCGGTGCCGACGGGGATCCACTCCATGGGCATGGTGTTCTGGACGACGAGCACGCCCGTCTGGAAGCCGACGCCGATGCCCAGGCCGGCGATGACCTGGTAGCCGAACCACTCGCGCAGCGGGCTGGTGAGGGAGAGGGTCGAGATCATGCCGCAGCCGACGGTGAAGAGGACCATCGACGGGAGCACAAAAGGGTTGTAGTAGCCGACGACGGTGACGAAGGCGCCGCTGAGGACGGACGTGACGACGACCGAGATGAGGAGCGGGAGGAGCTTGATGCCGGCCTGGACGGCCGTGTCGCCTTGGATGGCTTGGAAGTAGAGCGCTGGGAGGTAATGTTAGTTGCGCCATCCGTTGAGGTCAGGGAATAAGGGATATACTCACACAGATAATAAACCAGAGGGAAGAACGAAGCCCCAAAGAAGCACGCAAAGAGCATGGCGCACAGCATGTCCCTCGACTTGAACAGCCTCGGCGGCAACGTCCCCTTGTCGCCCTTCCAGATCTGAATCCCAACAAAGATGGCGCCCATCAACACCGAGCCCACAAACAACCCGATAATGACCGAGCTGTTCCACGCATACTCGGTGCCACCCCACTGGAGAGCCAAAAGCAGACAGATGATGGCGGGAATCAACATGGCCGTGCCCAGCAAATCCAGCCTGAGCACGCGCGCATACCACGTCTCCTGGTCGGGGTTATCCACCCGATCAATATGCAAAAAGAAAAAGATGGCCACCATCGCCGCCCCGCCGATCGGCAAGTTGACATAGAAGCACCACCGCCAGGTGACGTGGTCGGTGAACGCCCCGCCCAGCAGCGGCCCGGCCACGGACGCGATGCCCCACATGGCGCCGATCAGGCCGAAGGCCAGCGGCCGCTTCCGCAGCGGCAGCGTGTACGACAGGATGACGACGGAGCCGGAGAACAGGCCCGCGGTGCCCATGCCCGCGATGGCGCGGCCGACGATGAAGGCCTCGGACGTCGGCGCCAGCGCGCAGATGAGCGAGCCGACCTCGAAGATGAAGACGGCCACCAGGTACGTCCACTTGACGCTGAACATGCGGTAGAGCGAGCCGTAGGTCGGCTGCAGCGCCGTGGTGCTGAGGAGGTAGGCGGCGCCGTACCAGCCGATGTCCTTGACGGAGCGGAACTCACCGGTGATGGCGCCGAGGGCGGGCGCGATGATGGTCTGGTCGAGGGCGACGAGGAAGACGGCGAGGCAAAGAGAGGCGATTAACAGGATCAGCGGGAGCCCGTGCGGGTAGGTCTCGCGGTCTTGGCCGTGGTCGATCGGGGCTTCGGTCTTGAGCGGGGCGGGCTCGGCCGGGGCCAAGGCCGGGGCCGGGGCCGATGGCTTGCCTTGGCCCGGGGAGGCGGGTGGTGGGTGGGCTTTGGTTTCCTTGTCGAGCTCCGTGTCGGTGGTGTTGGTGGTGGCCGCGTCGGCGGCCATTTTGGGGTCCTCTGCTGCCGCCGCCATGGTGCGGGTTTGTCTGATGATGTCTTGGTGGGATGAAAGGGGACCGTTGTCGAGGAGCTCAGACGACGGGAGAGCTGGACGTGGCGAGTCCCGTCACCAGACGATCGCCACCAAGCCGCTTGGAACCGCGAGATCGGGGCGAATCAATCCAACAGAAGTGCGGAAAGGCGAAGGACTCGAGCTCTCCGAAGCTGGGTATAAGTGGGCGGCGCGTGTTTGCGACAAACGCGCCAGCGGACAAAAGATTTTATCACCGAGGTTGTCTCCGACGCGATGGCTTCCAGGATTCGACCTCGAATCGACGACGTGATTTTTCTCTGCTCTGAGAACGAGGGACGAAGAAAGGGGTGGCTAGGCGAGATTGAATTACCGAAGAAAAAAATGAATAAAACACGGCAGATTCACGACGACAACATCAACGACACAAGGAGAGAGGAACCGCGACGAAACATAGAAACACCACTGTAATTTATTATTTCCATCTGGCGACGGAAGCGCGCTATCGATCCCCCCCCCCGGCGGAGGAAATCCATTCCGTTCGAGAACACACCCTCTGACACCACACTGTCGGCCCTCGGGGTCCGAACGCACGACATGATGGAGGAGCTGCTCTCCGTTGGAATTTGCTGCCGTAGCGAATGGCACGGCGATTGGCTTGCTGCCCCTTGTTGGCCCGTCCCGAATCCCCGATCCACGGCGACGCCTCCATCATGATTCCATCGATGGTTTTGCTGTGGTCATCTGCAACGGCGACCCCACATGTTCCGTTCCTTGTTCCGGCACATGGCATGACGGCGAGGGAGAGGCTCTCCCGCCCGTTCTTTGGGGGGGCCTGGGCCCTGGAGCTCGGTGGTCGGAGCTCGGAGGCTCGGCATCTCCGATTGTCTGACTGACGACCAAGAGGTTGGGATTTTGGGAGGATACTATCCAGAGTCCAGACATCACCAGTTTTCTGCTTGGTGGTGATGTCTGGACACGCATCACATGGCTTTGCAGGCGCCACGCGTGTTGACAGGTGTTGAGGTGAGACAAGATGTTTGAGGCTCTTGGGAGGGAGAGTCTGAGATGTACACTGATGCAGGTATGCTTGCACATTGCAGCAGCTAGGCAAAGTCATGATCGCGGAGGAGAGCAATATTTCGTCCGACATTTCAATCCTCGAATTCATCTCCATTGTAGGACCACGAAACATGCCAATCACCGAGCCTCTGATCCGAGGCACAACTCCGAGCAAAACACATCATCATCGCTAATAGCACAACTCGCCGCCCTCCGAAACTCCCACACCATGTATTCCACCCGTCCAAGCCGGCCAGCCGTCCAGCCAGCACCAAAGATATACGCCCAGAAATAGCCTTGTTCCCCACCGACCCCGGCATCAGTTCCTCCGATTCCTCGTCTTCTTCTGCGTCTGCACCGAATCCTCCTCCACCTCGTCCTCGCCCTTCTTCAAGTCCTCGGTCAACCCCCACTCCTCCTTGTCGTACCAGTCCTCGCCGTCCGACATGTCGTGGTTCGGACCCGAGTGCGCCTCGGCCTTGGCCCACTGCCACACCGTCCGGCGGTAGCGGTCCGCCTTGAGCAGGCCCTCGTACAGCTTCTTGGTCCCGCGGCAGACCTCCTCCTGCTTTTGCACGTACAGCTGCAGCAGCCGCCGGACGTCGTCGGCCTCGGCCTCGGGGAGCCCGAGGTCCCGGTCGGGGTGCGCCGAGCGCGGCGCGAGGAACAGCGGGTGTATGAAGTACTCGTCGACCGATGCGCCTCTGCCGTTGCTGACCAGCGCCCCTGGTGGTGGCGCTGGCTCGGCGCCAGGGGCGTCGTCCATCTCCACGTCCTCGGGAGGACCGCCGTTGGCTTTGCTGACGGGGTCGTCGGGGGCTGCATCGCCATCGGCTTCCGTCCTTTCCACTTGGGGGTCTCCGCCCGCCTTCTCTTCGCCATTCGGGATCGCGCTGCCTGCCTGCCCATTCGCCATGTTGTGTGCTTCCGAGGAGGCCTCGCCTCCACTTTGGTTTCCCTTGTCCGTGCCGGCATCTTTCTCCATCGAGTCCACGCTGTTGGGCTGCCGCAGGGGCGAGTCCTTCCTTTTCCCTGTGCCCCGTGATGACCCTTCACTCCCATTTTCGCCAGAGGCTATCGCGAGTGGTGGAGGGATAGTCGAACGTCCGAGGAAGCGCTCAGCGTCTGTGAAGAGCTCAATGTCGGTAGGCTCGATCATCATGCCGCAGGGCACCCATGTGTTGTCCCCGATAAGCCTCGTGAGCAGGGGCTTTGCTTTCCACAGGGCCGCATTCTCCTTTTGCATGAGGAGCCGGGCCTGGCTCACGAGCTCGTTGAGCGCCTTGGAGGTGAAGGGTCGCGAGAAGGTCGGGTGGGTGGGGAGGTCGGTGACGGCGGTCAGCGGACCGAGTATTTCTGTCGGGCAACTGTCAGTACTGGATAAGTCGCGGGGGCGCAACCAGTCCGGTCGACTCACGCTCAATGTGTATGGAGGCATAGGGGTTCTCCTCCATGGCCGAGGCGACGGCCTCTTGGACGCGCTCCTCGTCGTCATCGCTGTCAATCTCGTACCCTTCCTCGTCAATGAGGGGCGGGTTCCTGCTGATGATTGTACGGTGGAAGCCGGCGTGCTCAGCGACCTAAAGCGGCGGGTCAGCCCGAGGGGTCTCGTCGAGTGCTGGACCGGTGTCTACGAACCTCCTTGTAGGCGGAAGGGCCATTCGATGATGCTAGGCGACCCTTTTTAACAAATCTCGCCGTCTTTTTGAGCTTGTTGCCTCGGTTCGTCGTGTACTCGGTCGAGTCGTCAGAGTCGTCAGAGTCTGTCGCGCGGCACCGCGGTTAGCCTAGCCCGGGACCCCAGGGGGGAGGGGGAGGGGGAGGGGGAGCGCCAGCGGCGAGCTGCTTACCATGGGCCTTGCGCTTGAGCGTCCTCTTGATGGCGAGGATCGTGTCCAGAATCATTGCTTGTTGTTGAGTCGACATTGTGCTGTGTGCCCTGAAGGGGACAGGCCGATGGGGGAGGTCTGGTCCAGTCGAGCCGGGTGTCGCGGCGGGTGTCGCGGCGGGCGGCCAAGTCGGCGGTGCGAACTGGAGTGGCAGGAAATCAATGGACAGGAAGAAAAGTCAATGTAGGCTCTGGTAGCCCCAGGGCATGGCCGTTCGGGAGCTGTGGCGCGGTGTTGTCGACGAGCCTGGGAGTGGGAGGTGTGGTGGGTGCAACTTGCAAGCGACAAGCTGCCGGGGTTCCAGCCTTCCAGGGCAGCGCGCGACAACGGGATGCGCGAAAGGCGGGCAGCCGCGGCACAAAATCCCCACACCGCGATTGTCACCAGCCCCACAGTGTTCAGCATGCAGTTCGTTGTTTCGACACGGGAGACATGACCGCGGAAAAGCGAGCCAAAGGATTTTTTATTTTATTTTTTTTTAAAAAAAAGAGCAAATGGGTTTTGACAGCAAAAATGACTCTGACAAGAGTCAAAAAAATAATCAATAGCCCGACGTGGGACTCGAACCCACAACCTCAGGATTACTATCTCGTGGAGCTAGAAGTCCAGCGCGCTAAGCCATTGCGCCAGCCAGGCAGTTTCTGCAATTGGTTGACTGGGATCGCAGTAAACGCTGCCTATGGACTCTTACTCTTTGACTTTTGACCTGAGAGATATGTCTTGTCTCATGCGCACGGACCCTAGCTCCCTTGCTGCCCCCGCGAGCAGCAACAAGCTCCAGAGCTCTTCAAAAGCGCGATTCTCCCTCCTCCCTCCAACATCCAACCCCTCAACCTCAACAGGCCCCTCCAGAAACTCCCGTCAAGGCCCTCTCCAAACCAAGCATCCCTAACCATGGCGGACCCGCCCAGCGCCGCCGCCGTCAAAACGGCCATGCGCAAGGATATCGTCAGGGACCTGGGATATCACCAGTTTCCTCAACGTCCCTTCCTTCAGCGACTCCCCGTCCTTGGGGCATCCGACGAAGAGCTCAAAGCCCAAGCAGCCAGTATTCTCGCCGACATGCAGCTTTTCCTAGGCCGGAGGCTCGAGTGGAAAGAGAGGACCGAGCTGGCCAATATCGCATACTCCGACCATAGCGCCTCCCATTTCTGGGAGAATGTGGTACAGGTCGTCACCGGAGTGGCTCTCCTCTCCACCTGGAGGGGGACAGCGCACAGAAATCGAAAGTTGTACACAAACTTGGCCATCTTGACCTTCGGCGTGTCCTGGGATGTTGGTATGAAGATGTGGTACGCCGGGCTGAGGAATATGGCAATAGCCCGGAATCCCCATCTCGAACAGCTCCGGAAGGATAGAAGGCGGGCCATGGTGGCAGACCGTACCGGACTCCCCATTCCGTTTCCCAGCCCCGCCCAGGCGCCGCCGTTCGACGCCGACGCCCCCCCCTCGCAAGACGCCCCCCAATCCTGGCCCCAAGCCATCCAAGAACAAGACCCCTTCGGCAACCGGCCAACCCCCGCGCCACTCCAGCGCGAACCCCCACCCACCACCACCCCGGACCCAGCGCCCCCAGCCTGGCAATCCGACCCCAACCCCCTCGAGGAGACGGGCCCCGCCCCCGCCCCCGGCCCCGGCCTCTCCAGCTGGGAGCGTCTCCGCAGCCAGACAGCCCCCTCCGGCACCCGCCCAACCCCCGCGCCACTCCAGCGCGACCCCCCACCAACCACCACCACCCCGGCCTGGCAATCCGACCCCGACGACCTCCTCGACGAGATCGAGGGGGGGACGGGCCCCGCCCCGGGCCCCGGCCCCTCGGGCTGGGACCGTCTCCGCGGCAGGACCGACCCCACCCAGCCGGCGCCGACGCCGACGCCGACGCCCCAGACGTGGGCCGACCGGCGCCGCGCGGCGCTCGAGAAGAGCAACGCCGAAAAGGGCGGCGACCCGGCGGCGTCGTACGCGGCGCACGACGACGAGGGCACCAAGGCGCAGACGCAGGCGCAGCGCGAGTTTGACGAGATGCTGGAGAAGGAGAGGAGGGCCGCGCAGGACAATGGCGGCCGCAGCAGCAGCAGCAGCGCAAGCAGGGGCGGGGAGAGGTGGCGGTAGTCTGCCCCTGGGGGGGGACGGGCGGGGAGAGCTCCCACTGGCTCACCGTCGTGTTGTTGTTGTTGGACTCGTCTCTTTCCGCTTGGGACTGGCTTCTTGGTGGTGTGAGACGAGGGGATATGCGTTGTACCATCCCACTCTGGCCACCCGACTGCTCCAGCTGTGGTGTTGTGGAGAGGAGAGGATGGGATGAGGATGGGGTACCGTGTGTTGTATCGCTATACCTCGCTAGCATTATTAGCATTGGCCTTTGAATCTTGATCACGATTACAATCACCACCGTCGTCATTGCATAAGTGGGAACAGTCACTTCATAGCGGGCGGGGCGTAGATATCTCTATAGATTCTACGTCTTCGGCGCAGAAGGACATAAACATAAGTGGGAACAGTCAACTCCAATCTCCCCCATTCCCACTTGGAGTCTTGGACATGGGACAACATCTCATTTTCGCCGAAAACACCACAGACAACGAGTATAGGTGGTGGAGCGGGACTATGTGGTGACCATTCTTGGGTTTATGTACTGGTATCTTTGCGGCTCGAGTCACTCCACTCAATCACGTTTCTTTTTTTTTGAGAAATGCATTGCTAGGTACTAGTGATCTATCTGGTCTTGAATGAGTGTGTGTGCGTGTGTGCGTGTGTGTAAAACAAAATGCAGCGATACCTCCAACCGGCCTCCCCTCCTCCCCTGTCCGTTTTCCCCACCACCCCCCCTTTCCTTTTCGTTTTCTTTTTGCCCTGAACGTATCCAAACTCAGAGAGAGTGCGGAAACCCCCAGGAGTGACATCAGATGGCAATAAGATGGAGAAATGAGTAAGGAAATGCGATTTAAATCAACGGCTGTATCAATCCCATCCCGGAATGGATAGATCCAACAGAACGACAGTAGATGCGAACCCAGAGATGATGAGGCCCGAATACCCTGCACCGATCAGATGTAGTACATCGAGTCCTGGAGTCCCGGCGTCGCCCTCGTGAGGTCCGTCGAGGCGGCCGCCTGGCCCGACACCGTCGAGGCCGTGTCCGAGACGTCGTCAAACAGGTGCGAGTTGTGGACGCGGGCGCGCGTGCACACGAGGTCGGCATAGTACGCCGGCGGGCAGATGCTGACGGCCTTGGTGGCGCGGCCAAAGAGGTAGCACATGTCGTGCGTCAGCTTCTCGAGCTGGTTGGCCGCGTCGGCCTTGTAGTCGGCGCGGAAGATCTCGTCGAGCAGGACCGTGTAGTGCGCCGGGCGGGCCGTGCCCTGGAGGGAGGCGTGGGCCTGCAGGAAGAAGTCCCAGAAGCGGACGCTCGTGACGCCGCGGTCGACGACGGTGCCCTCGCGGGGGCTCTTGGAGTTCTTGTGGGCCTGGTCCAGCGCGTTGCTGGTCGGGTAGAAGCGCGTCTGGTGGCGCTTGACCGAGACGATGAGCGAGATGCGTGGCATTGTCTTGGCCGGGTACAGCTCGCTGCAGGCCTGGCGAATGTATGGCAGCTCGTGGTCGAGAACTTGCTTGAACTGACCCTCGGACACACCGTCACGGAAGATGACAATGTTCTTTGGGTATTCCTTGTTCTTGCCCTGCCACAGCTTGAGTCGGCTTTTGAAGGCCGCAACCAAACCGCCGTCCAGCATTTCACGGCCTTGCTGCATGTTCCAGACGTGGGCCGGCCATTGGGCCAAGTCCTTGTCCACGCTTGCAACGAGGCCTGCGACGCTGGGAGCGTTTCTAGCGGCGCCGGGGGGGAGATTGGTCGGGTGGGTGACGTCGTAGCCCGCCACCATGGTCTTGCCCCCTGCGAGAAGCTTGTTCTCATTCTTAAGTTTGTGGTTGATGCCACCAAACTTCAGGTTGATCTTGAGGCCAACGTTGGCAAAGTATGCCTCGCGGCGCTCCACCTTCATCACCTTGTTGAACTGGACACATATGGTGTGAATCCCGTAGCGGGTGTCGGCCAGCAGCTTGATCCTGTTGTAGACCGCGGCATCTGGTGAATCCAGGATCACAAAGACAAGCTGGACCTTGGCGCGGTCGAGATCCGCGAACTTGGTATCCAGCCCCTTCTCGTCCCTCCACATGATCTTCGAGGGAGGAGCATTGGGCGCTGGCTTGTCGTTGATGGCGATACCCTGAGTCTTCAAGAAGGCCACAAAGGCAGTCATGGTTGGTTGAACTACCGAGAGGTCCCGAGTCGTCAAACACGTCCAACGTTCGATCTGACGGCCAGGAGCGATAACCTGGATTCCCGCCATGTTCCAGCCACCATCTCTCGCATTGATGGCTTTTCCGCCGCGATACGCAACGGCGGGTGGCTGCAGCTGCCGACCGAGCACCGTGATCAACGATTTATCGACCGAGATGCCAAAGGCGTCGAGGAGGGGGTTGTCGTCCAGGGCCAGGACTTTTCTAGCCGACGTTGTGATCGACGTGGCATTGGCGGCGGGCTTTCGGCAGGCGAACTTGATCATCCGATCCGCGTCTTCGGCGGACAGCTTGGCCTTGATAGCTTGACCAGCCAGGACTTCAAGGTGTTCGGCGACGATGTAAGTCGGACGCTCCCTGGTTCCGGCGTTGATCAAGGGCATGCTAGGATCAACCTTCATCCTGTACTCTGAGCATATGTTAGTCGGTGAAACAGCCCGTAGTGAATAATAGCATGGTACTTACTCTGCCTGAAGTAATCCCCAACTTTGACCTCGGTTCCAAACTTAAGGGTCCCGATTTGTGCTGGGGTCGGCTGTCCGGGGGCCACAACCGGAGCTCTTAACAGAAACTTGACGGAGTCAGGGCCGGCGTAGGAGATCTTGCTCGCCTCATTCGGGTTGAACTTTGGCGGCGCATTGTCGCCCGGCTGGCTTGGCTTTTTGCCATGCTTGACCTGGCCGTCGAAACGAGTGGCAAGACCCGCGATCGATTTTTGAATGAACGTCGACGGCCCACCCTTGGGGTTTGGAATTTCGACGCGGACCCGGCACTTCTTGAGATACTTGTCAAGTAATCTCAACGTATTCTCAGTCTCGGTGCACTCCCTCTGCGTGCTTTTCTCGATCTGGTCCATATATGCCACATCCATCATCCTGAAAATGTCTGTCATCTTGCCCTTGCACCGGAAAACACCATGGGTGACATTGGTGTTCAGGAGCAGGCGCCCGGTACCTCCGCGGACACTCTGAAAGTATCCACGCAGGATTTCTACCGGCGAACGATATCCCGGGGGGGCGCCGTCGATCCTTTGGGGGTCCACGGCGAAGAAGCGGCCTGAGCCAACCGACGAGATGTTGGGGTCGGCGCGAGGCGTGTGTCCCAGGATCACGTTGAGAGAGTCGATGTGGTCCGGGAATTTGGGGAAGGCCGACTCGCTGCTGTTCGTGTCCTTCATAGTTTGGAGATACTTGAGAAGATCTCCGAGGTCGGCAGTTCCGACTTCGTTGAATGTGACGACCCAGTCCTCAGTCTTCTTCCCGGCATCAAGCTTCACCGTGATAGCACCGCTTGGCGGAAGCTGGATTTTTTTCAGGGAGATCACCTGCTGCTTG